ACAGATACTAATCATTAAAATAAGAAAAGTTTCATGACGAACGTTTAAGGGACCAGAAAAACACTCTCGGACAAAATTTGTCGCTTTTTACAGGTTTCCATGGCAACGGTAGACTTATTGGAACTGAACGAGCGCACTGCACAACTAGAACCAGTGATCGTCCTTTAAGGAAAGTTTCAGGAAGATTGTCCAGCCATCTCCGAAAACAGCCTGGATAAAAAAAACATGCGTACAATATAATATGTCGTCCCCGATTTTGTTGGGGGCAAAATAGAAAAGAAGAAGAAAATTGAAAAAGAAACAAAAGAATAATAACGGGTCTTCCGCTGAAGACGGAAGACCCTAAAAATAGTGGAAAAGAAACCTAAGAATAACAAGAAGGTCTTCCGCTGAAGACGGAAGACCTTAATAAAAATAGTGGAAAAGAAACCTAAGAATAACAAGAAGGTCTTCCGCTGAAGACGGAAGACCTTAACTAGAGCAAAGCTCGTTGCAAAGCAACGAGTAGGTCTTCCGTCCTGTTTGACCGGAAGTAGCATTAATTTTTAACAAAAATGAAAAATAACGCCTAAAAATGGTTTGAATCCTTTAACACTATGCAAAAATAAGCAATTTTTTGCTACTTCCGGTTTCCCAGAAGTGACGACAACGGACGAAAAAATTATTTTTTTGCTTCTAGAGACATTTGTTACCAAAAAAACTTGTCAAGAACGGCAAAAATACGCGTTTTTCGACTACTTCCGGTTTGGCCGGAAGTGACGACGCCGGACGTTTTCTGACGACTTCAATAGATTAAACTTGTCATTTTGAACAACTTTGCTTCTTTGATGTATTACAAATTCTCAATACGTTTTGAGATATAAAGAAAAAACTGTTGGCCCCTCTAGGCCCTTAAATTTAGGGGCCAGCCCTTTTTTCGAGATATCATTTGAAAGATCTTTAAACTCTGCACTTCTTTTGTTCTATACGTTTTCACAAAATATTTTCAGGTAAAAAGATATCGAAGAAAAGGTGTGAGAAATTTTGAAATTTGTGATAGGTCTATTTTCGGGCCATAGCGAGCGCCGACGAGCGTCACTTCCGGTAAAATTGATATACCTGATGCACCTCTCCCAGACATAGCTCTACCTAGCCTCAAAGTTTGAAACTTGTATCTTAGAGCCGTTTTTCGGGAAAATTGTGGACAAAATGACCCTTAAAAATAAGAAAAAAAACGATATCTCTAGAACGGAAGTGACGTCATCGAAACGGAAAAAAACGCATAAGGTTCAAGTGATGTTCCATACGTCCCGAAAGTTTCATAAGATTTTGTTGAGCCGTTTTCGAGAAATCGCGTGCACAAAATCGGTAAGAAAAAAAAATAATAATAAAAGTGAAAAAGAAACCGAAGAAAAACAATAAGGTCTTCCGCTGAAGACGGAAGACCTTAATAATAAGAAACAGAGTAAAAACAATATGTTCCCAACTTCAGTGTTTTGGGAGACGTGATAACAAAATTCAATGGACGGCAAAAGGTCAAAACTTGACATTATTCAAACGATTTCATCAATAGCCAATATATTTTACACATTTAAAATTTATTAATTATAAGAGCTACTAAATTAATAATTAATCGGAACTGGTTAAAATCTGGAACAGGCCAAACGACTGTACTAAATGACCGGAGAGTGAAAATATATATTTTGCAAGATGTATTTATTTTATCGAATATTCGAATATATTCGACTACTACTATCGAATATTCGAATATCAATTATTGACAATTTTGACATCCCTAGTTACAAGTACATGTGAAGTATGAAAGAGAGAGAGAGAGAGCACTCGCGCTCACCGACTTGTGGGGAACTCACACCTGACAAAGGACCTTTCTTATGGGGAAAGTTCAGGGAACTCTCTCGTTCCCCACAAATATGGTCATGGGGTTTTTTGAATTCCACGTGTTCTACTGATAATATTTAATCGATTTCTGGTCATTTTTGAAAAAATCCCCATAAGTCCGTAAATTTGACTCGCAGTAATTTTCTCACTGCACCGTAAAACGAATGTTTGAGGATGCTGGGAAATGTTCATTCGGAACGCAGCGGAATTTAAACTGGTCCCCATATGATACCAATTTATTGCGGGCAATGGCTGCTCCGAGAATATGTGGTAAGTAGATTTTTTATCATATTTTAAAGATATTATAGGCTGAAAACTTAATTTAACTACGTAAATCATGCATGCAGTTATTTCTTACAGACGTTCGTAAAGTAACATTTAATAATGAATGCACGTAAAACTTTGGGAAAGTTTGACCCGACCTAGACCTCGGTTATTTTTTTTTTAATTGTATCATGTTTATAAGCCTAATGGCTATCCCGTAAGAACAAACTACGGATTTATATGAATTCAGCACCCCCGGGATATGGTAAGCGTTTAAGGCTTGTCCCCATTTTTTGTGAAACGCGACTATCCTCCTCATGCCCATACAAATTATGCTAGACGGTGCCACTGTCTGGTCTTTAGCTGTTTAGTGAGGCCTGTGTGGGCGAATTAATTGTAAAAGTTAATCTGACTTAAACTGTACGTGTATTTATAAACGATGTCAGTCACACACTGACTCAGTGTCAGAAATGTATCACAGAGAACTCCACCTTTTCAAAAGGTCCATTGAAATCAGTACATTTATAGATTTACGTAGCTAAAATTTCTTAGCTTGGTTAGATTATTTAACATGTTTAATTCTTCCAAAAAAAGCTTTGATTTAGTTATCGTTTTTTTATCAAGTCATTCTTCCTACTTGTATATATTTCTTCGCATGCGTTGGTTTGCATAGTGTCCATTTGCCTTCATTATCTTTCACCTGCACCCACAGGTACTTGGGTCGTGGTTTATAAATATTTATAATGTACCTTATTGATATGTAAAAAAAGTAAAGGTATGCAGGCTCCGTAATGGCGTCTGCTCAAACATGTTCTCTTTAAAAAACGCTGCACCTACCAATATTTCTGCACCGGACATCTCAGAACACTGATTACTTATTGTAAAAATCCTCACATCTTGCAAATAATCCCTAAAAGGTGATTTTTAAACAATTTTTCATTTTCGTTAACGTGCCCGGAACTAAGAAATACTAAAACCCGAATCAAAACCACGAATTCCGGCCATTCAAACACTCCAAAATACTAGAAGCATTCCGAGAAAATTATAAATAGTTCTGGAAATTTCAAGTTATATTTAAATTTATCGGAATGCCTCTAGAATTTTAGTCTTTGAATGGCAATTTGGTTTTGATTCGGGTTTTAGTATTTGCACGCTGCCACTTTTGAAAAATTGTTTAAAAATCACCTTTTAGGAATTATTTGCACTGTGAGGATATTTACAATTAGTAATCAATGTTCTAGGCGTCCGGTGCAGAAATATCGGTAGGTGCAGCGTTTTTAAAGAGAACAGGCCATGTAAACAAGCGAGTTGAGCAGACGCCATTACGGAGCCTGCATACCTTTACTTTTTTTACATATCAATAAGGTACATTATAAATATTTATAAACCACGACCCAAGTACCTGTGCCTGCACCCTGTTCTACATTCATCCTGATTGCCCTACTGAAAATATATTCATGATTTTAGACCATCATTATTGATGTATCATAAGTATTTTTTTTTATTTTGCTAAGGCCAATAAATAGATAGTGTTTCCATAATCTTAGAAAAGATAGGGTAGGTAGGTAGGAAAAACATTTTTATTTTATTTTAACTTTTATTGGCAGGCACGTCCACAGATCTGCTGTCAAAATATTTCTGATTAATATGTGTAAGATATGCATTTCTCAAACATGGAAGTGATCAAGATTGGGATTTCATTTCTAATTGTAAACTGGAATTCCGAATACTGTAACACGCCTGCTAATCGATCAATTGCACAACCAGCAGTTGTGTATAACAATCAAAAGAGATCGATTTCCGGTTGTGCATTAGATGCGAATAATTCCAGTACACAGGTAGTAAATGGACCCATTCAGGCAATAATTGATATTTTTATTAAAATATAAGAATGTGATTCCATGAGCAATTTATTTTTCTTTAATTTTACACTCTCATAAAATGCAGTGATTGTCGATTAGCGACGATTTTTGTTTTGAAGCAAAGGCTGGTAGAGCGAAAACGCTGATTGAAAGTCATCATTTCCGACTAAAATTCGTTTTAATCTCAACTAACCTTGAAAATTCAATGTCCACCATGAGTATGCAACAAGTGCATCCTATCCACCAAAATTGGGACTTCGATATGTGTATAATTTGACAAATATTCGTAGAAAATAACATTGCTGATGCATGCGATCATTCAGTTGTGAAAGAGATCTCGGGTTATGCATGAGATGAAAGATAAAATGTTACGAAAGTATTAAACAATCTCCATAATTCACCTCTTATACTATTTTATTTTTGGTAATTATAAAATTTTAAATATTGGCTATAATAAGAAGACGTTGCGGTGGCAGATCCAGCAATTTAAAAAAAAAAGGGGGGTGTCCAGGTGTCCAACACTATGCATATAGGCACTTCAAACACTGATTTCAACACTATTCAAAGTTAGTGGGAATTTGACAAGCCAAAAAACAAACAAACAAACAAACAAATAAAACAAAAACACAAACAAGCAAGCAGTAGATATACATGTAGCTATAATTCGCTGGGATCTTCCTCTGGTTGCAAAGTGAAACCTTGCATAGGACGTGTTGGTTGTCCACCCAGGGCTGGGATTGCGACGGTACTCGGAGGAGCATATAAACGAGGGAACTCTATTTATAGCGAGAGAAACACACATGTACTGTATTTATTTAGGCCCAATTTTTTTTAAAAGAAAGGACAGAGATGTCAACATGTACAGTGTATTTATTTTATTCGATTTTAATTCAAATACTTATTGACGTAATAAAATATATCCATGTTATATAACTCTCTCTCTCTCTCTCTCTCTGCAAAAATTAAGGGGGGAGTCCAACCCCAGGAACCACCTTCTAGATCCGCGAATGATATTCAGTCATATTTGCAAGCACATTTAGACTTTTTCAGCAGCAGCGGCCGATCTCTTTTATAAGGAATGAAACGTTATTTTTCAATAGTTCTGTAAACTAATCGATCTTAATTTTAAAAACTTGCTTTAAACTGAGCGTTTATTGTTGTTGTTTCAATTTCTTTGTCATTTCTAATTGGATAATTAATAATACATGGTTACTAATATATACAAAAAGTTTGTACAATAGGTACTCCCCACCCAGGGAGTGTTCAAGATATGGAAGGAAATCGTCATGATTTTAATTTCCGGATAATAATGAAGTGGTAAAAGTTGCAAGGTAAATAAAAAGTTTTTCAACAACACTGTAGTAAAATTGTTTTGAATGTGCTACAGATGTGACAACAAAGATTTTTCTTACATTTTTTCCATCATACTACGCGCCTTGAGTTGCCTATTTTGCAGAAACCATTATTATCATATTCCATGCTGGGTTTCAGCATGTGGTTTTATACTACATCTTCATTCATACATTCATATCATTCATCATATATTTTTCTATTGATTCATTGATGACTCATTGATGCTTTTGAAATTAAAAAGTACTAGTAATTTTTGAAAATATAAACTTTGCGGCCGATTTGATGCTTTGCATCAATTTTATTTGGAATGTTTAATATTGGTATTTTTATTTTACGATTATTTTTGGTTTTTGACCCCCTACATGGTATACATGATCTAAAAATAAATATAATTTGTGAGAAAAAAAGTGTCCAACGAGTTCGGGGGTTGAATATCGGAGGGGGGGGGGGGGGGTTGTCCTGTCCACAAGCACCTGTAATGTGCTGTTGTCATCTTGATCCTTTCCATCTCGATGACAAAATTCAGGATACCGAGATTCAAAACACCAGGAAATACTTATCCCAAGGCAAACACATATCATCGAGAGTCTGCCTCTTATTTTCTCACAGAAGCACTTTTTACTATAAAATATATATGAAATGAAGTATGAAAAATTCTGTATCGTTGACTTTGTTGCAGTACTGTCAAATAAAGGTAAGGTATGTTTGAGTTAAACAATTTCGTACTGAAAGAAGTCGATATATATGCTGTTTTTTAAATTTTATTTTATCTTTTTTTTTTTTTTTTGGATACGGAATAGCCATATTAAAGATGCATTGGATAATTCACACAAAATCTATGATCTAAATAATACACACATATTTTTTTTAATGTAATTATATTTATTGTAACTGAAACTTTAACCCCATCCCCTAACAGATCTACTTCAACAGTTTACTTATCTTATATATCTTTTTTTTCTCACAATTTCAACTTATTTGCACGAAAATCCTATAATTTTATTTTTTAAATTTTGCAAAACTACTTTATAATTATATAATGTTTAATTTTATTCATGCAGTTTGAAAAAAATTTATCCTTCATCTCATGCATAATCTCTTTCACAACTGAAAGCAATGATCGCATGCATCAGCAATGTTATTTTCGGAATATTTGGAACTAAAGTGCCAATTTTGGTGGATACACACTAGCATATTCATGGTGGACATTGAATTTTCAGGCCTTGAGATTAAAACGAATTTTAGTCGGCGAATAATTTTCAATCAGCGTTTTCGCTCTACCAGCCTTTGCTTTTAAATCGTCGCTAATCGAAATACTGCATTTTATTGTAAAATTAAAGAAAAATAAATTGCTCATGGAATCCTTTTATATTTTAAAAAAATTTCAATTATTGCCTGAATCGGGTCCAATACCTGTGTACTGGAATTATTCGCATCTAATGCACAACCGGAAATCGATCTCTTTTGATTGTTATACACAACTGCTGGTTGTGCAATTGATCGATTAGCAGGCGTGTGTAATATGTGTATATAATTTGTGTTTCAAATTAGCATCATAATCATAAAAAATAAATTAGCGCTACACATGTATGTGCGGTGTATTGTATATATCAATATGTAAATGATTTCTTAGCAGTATTCATGAATTAATTGTTGTTTACTTTTCAAAGTACCTCAAAAAAAAGTGGTCCTATACTATTGAGTTAGGCGGGGAACTAAACATGCTGAAAACACACTACTTATTGTCTAATAAATTCATATACAAAATAATAAGATGCTGATGTAGATCAAAATCATATGTAAAATTGGCCTTGGGGTTTAGATTTGGAATAAATAAGAAACAGGAACTAAAAATCTCAATTATGATGCGAATTGGAGAAATGGAGAAACATAGTAATAACAATTAGATCAGCTTTTATGATAGCGAGCATATTAAAAATTTAAAATTGGTTATAAAATTGAAAGGTAATGTTGAGATTTTAAGATTCAATATCTATTATTCATAATTATTTATATTTGCTTAACTGAATGTATACCTTTTTAAATTTATTTACATATAACGATCGCGCTCAAAGTTTTGGGTCTGATAATGCTTCCTGATTTTGGTCTTTTATTTTTTTTTTTTGAAGAAAACCATTTGATTTCTGCACCCACTCCTCCTTTCTAAAAATTTTTAATCTGCCTCTGGTAACTTTACGCTGTAAATTTCTATTCTCATTTTAATTAAATTTAAATAAATACTAACAGCACTATCATGCAATTTCAATGACTATCATTTAAGGTATTGATTCAGTTTTCTGTCATTCCTAAAAATAAGTTGTACTGTATCGTTGATTTTTTGCATATAAAACAGTTTCTGCTCATCAAACATCCACGAGAAAGTGTTCTGTTTCGCAGTTATTGTACGGTTGATTTAAAAGGGAAAGCTCTCTGGGCCATGTCACAAGAAGGAAAAAAGTAAAATATTTTTCATACCTACCTACCCACTGTTAACAATATGGTTCAGGAAAGGGCATACATTAAGTCTTAATTTTGGCATGCCGCATGGGGTCAAAAATTACTATTGAGTGATGTGGAGATATACCTGTCTTGTAATTATAGGTAAAAATATGAACACTTTAAAAAAAATATACAATGAAATCTTTGAACTGAAAGCAAAATTATCATTGCAGGTTTTCGGGTTTTCACCACAAGAGCAAATTATACAACTTTATTCTTGAAAATGTTGGAGACTGAGACTTGGAGTCAAAGTCAACAGACACGCTTGCATGGACATGAAGGATGTAAAGAACTAGGAGTATTATAACTGAAAGCATTTTGTCTGGATTTGTGTATGGAAACAGAAGGATTTAGTATTGGTAAGTCAAGATAGCTGTAAAATCTCATTTTGAACTCTATATGTGAGCAGTACTGTAAACCAACTACCAGGTAGTACACATGTACCCTATTTGTGTCATCTTTTATTTGCATATCTAATCTGTGTTGATTAATTTCCGTGACTAATGAAAGGAAACATTCTCTACAAATATAAAGCAAAATTAATAGTTCAGGGCAATTAATAATTTACTATTCACTAGTAAATGTAGGTCATGAAACTGGCAAATATTTCTTGCACTCAAATAAAAGTTGGTTTACAGTACTTCCGTTGCTCTAAAAACAGAAATAATAAAAAAAAAAGCATGCTGATATCATGTATGTTATGAAGCCTAATACATGTACATAGAAGTATATAAACCGGTATATCTAAAATAAAAAAAAAAAATTTGGTCCTTGTTCATGATTTCAAAGTAGGTTAAAAGCCTCATGAACATGCTGAGAAGTTGTCAGAAAATATACATGTGTGCTAACCATGCTAACTGTGTAACAATAATCAGAAAATTTTACAAAATATAATCAAAATTTGGTTAATAATAATTAGTCATTGGCCAATTAAATCCATCAATGATTAAATTAGTACTTATATATACTGTCTCCTGATTTTATGACTTTTTATCCTTTTCAACATACTTATTATTTTTGAATTGAAAACATTTTTTTTTACCTGAGAAAATTAAAATTTGCAATTTGTTTTAAATCTAGTGAAGGAAAACAAATGTTTTTAAAATTAATGTGCTTTGATTTAAAAGACTTGTAAACATTAGATTAGTAATACATGTAGTTTCAATACAATTATTAATATTGATGATTGATTTTTTTTTCACTAAGATTTGATAGTTATTTTATTTGTTGAAAAATAATTTTTATCTGTAATGTTCATGTATAATAAAATAATGCATTTCCCAATAAGTGATAAATGTTTCCCACAAGTCAGCAATATACACTGAAGTGTACATTTATTGGTTGGGTTCAAAGGCAACATTTATATGGAAACAAATTTTTAAGGGTAAAGCAATGGTCAATACATGTGTATTCCTCACAAGTGAACAGTGAGAAATATTCCCCACAAGTCAGCAGTGATAAATATTACCTAAAATTGTTAACTGTGAGAAATATTCCCCACAAGTCAGCAATGATAAATATAACCTACGTGAGAAATATTCCCCACAAGTCAGCAGTGATAAATATTCCCCACAAGTCACCAATGAAAAGTATTACAAGTTAACGGTGATAAATATTCCCCACAAGTCAGCAGTGATAAATATTCCCCACAAGTCAGCAATGAAAAGTATTACAAGTTAACAGTGAGAAATATTCCCCACAAGTCAGCAGTGAGAAATATTCCCCACAAGTCAAGTGAGAAATTTTCAGCAATGAAAAGTATTACAAGTTAACAGTGAGAAATATTCCCCACAAGTCAGCAATGATAAGTATTACCTACAAGTCAACTGTGAGGAATATTCAATAACAACATACAATTATTTTAACCCATTCTCAATCAAATTTGGGGAGTAAATTGGAATTAGCATGTCTGTCTATCTTTCTATAGGCATTACATATTGAGGGATAATGGTGGCATTATTTTTTTAGGAAATCTCACATCAACTTCCTGTTTATCTGTGCGTGTAAATTTTTATGTTTTTTTTTTTCAGCAACTACTATGGTAGCAAGAAGTTTGAAATTTTTTAACACTCTTTGTCGAGGCATATTATATACTGGTAGTGAGATTCATTTTTATGCAAATTCGATGTCAACTTCCTATATATCCACGTGTCTCGAGATCTGTACGCAATTTTTGTTGCAGTTTTTTCACCAACTGACTATCACAGATATAAAAATGTGGTACATGTATCCATTAGATTGAACCCTAGCAATAAAAATCCTGAGTAGCATTCTCTACTGAGACTAGCAAGCTAACCACTATGCTACACAAGTCCTGATGAGGATTGGCATTTAAATCATGTTTGTGATATGACCATTGACTCAGTGGACTTCAAGTTTTTCTCGAAAAGATACAAAAGTTATATCATAAAATTATAATTTTTTAAAAGGTTTATTGGGTTTTTACTCCATAATTTTGGAAATCAAAATAGTATATTTCATTTTGTATGCAAACTTTGAGGATAAACTTGAAAAAAAAAGTGGAGTGAAGACCCACTCATACATTTCAAAACATTGTTTTAAAAAGTGTGTAGTGTTGTTATGATAGTCGCTGACTATCGAAAAATCGTCGTTTAAAGGCCCAGATTGGCGACAATCGATTGTAAATATTATCATCGATAGATCACTATATTTTTCAAGCCGTATTTCTCAAGCCGAGCAGGTTTAACTTTTATATTCACCAAAGGGACATCACTCTAATCAGCAGTAAACAAAATGAGAACGTGCATGGTGAAGAGGTTATAATTATTATATCCATATCCTGGTGCATTGTCTTTTTAAAATACTTCTAAGGATGAATAAATCTAACCTTTTATAACATTTAAAATTATCAATTATATAATTATATAAGTGATTGTGTTCTTCCGATTCAATTTGATAATAGTAAATTTGTCCAATTTTACAACACTAAAAGTGTGAAAAAATGACTCAATTTGCCCTTTTTCGCGTGTGTATTATATTTTACAGGCCAAAAACTTCAATCTTCATGAGATATGTATAAGTTGTAGAGATTTGACAGATTTACATAAAGTATACTTTAATTTTAGATGAAATATTTCGGAAAATTTTGATACAATACTTGATATCGCGATTACTTAACTTAGCTGAACTCTTTCATGAAGGAGGTAGGAATCATCTGTTGGGTGGGAGCAATGTGCTATTCAATACAATTAATGCAAGATCGATCATTGTAGCATTTATAAGGACAGATAAGTAAAAAATCCTGGTGGAATACCTCGCTAGACAATCGCTGAACCAGCCTTATACATTTTTGAGAGGAGCCAATCCTAAATTGTCACATTTTTAAAGATATGTTTAATTAAGCGGACTCTTATAGTTAAATTTTCATTGAAAATCGTCACATTTTTCAGTATATAAAATATTCTTAACTTTCCTTATTTGACAATCTACTATTTGGAATTCAATATCTGGCAAAACATCGTGATTTTGGCATTAAATTGTTCGAATCATTCGATTGTCACTAATGTAAACAATGTCATTTGCCCCCAGAAATTTAGACTTTTCTTGACTCCCTCGCAAAAGAGCGGAGGTAAGTTAGATAACTGCGAGGTACTCATTGGTAGTCGCGACATAACATATTGAGATTTAATTTTTTCACCTTCATGTTTGTTGCGCTATAGGCTTATCCCTTGTTATGTTCTCGGACTCCCATCTCATTTATCATCCAATAATAAAATACATTTCCAAAGCATGTGAATTATATTTAGATGATAATTAAATACATATGATAAACAATAGATAAAAATTGATATTTTTGTCCTTTCTACTCTTCATGCATATAACATGTATAAAGTCCACAACAATAAAATGATTCATTTGATTTTTGTTAGGATTTGTTCATCGACATCCAACATATTGTTTACATGTTTATGTTACGTTTGTCCCAGAAATCCTGAAAGATTTGTACACTCTGCAACTTTTTTACAGAGGAGCGCACTAAAATCTTAAACTCTTCCATAGTTGAAATAAGACGTATTGGTAAATAGATTTTGCCCTGTAGTCCATCTGGCTGTTTGTCCTCAAAAACTTTAACCTTGCTCATAACTTTGGAGTGAGTGGGGCTATGGCTTTCATATTTCACTGCTGTACACTTGTATTTCTTGTGACAAGACCTTTCTTTGGGTACCACCACCACCAAATTTGACCTCTTGACCTTGAAGTTTGACCACTTTTACAAAAATATATCACTCTTCAACCTTAGTTATAACTTATAACTTTTGCACAGTTGGTGTTAGGGCTTTCATACTTCTCATTGGTATGTTCAATAATTTTTTTGACAGGTCTGCCCAAGTTTTGTATTAAAACGCTTCTGAAACTCATCTGTAAAAAACATTTAATATTGTTGGCCGATTTAAACATTTCGGGAAAATTGCAAAAAAAATGAAAACGTGAAAAAAAAAAATGCATTCTATGAGGTTCGGAGAGTAAAATGGAGGATAGGTCAGGTGACAAAAATGATGACAGTCATGTATATTTTTTTTGCCCCGGTATAGTGTCATATTTGATATTAAAATATGTGATTTGCAGCACATTCTTACTGATATTTCTTTAAATTACAGGTATCCTGAATTTTTGTCAACTTCTAGCCAAGATCCTGTAAAGCTGAATGTGGAGGACAGATGTACACACAGTACTAGTATAGAGGGTAAGTAGACCATAAAAAAAACAAGATGTGTTTGTGAAACACTATGCGCCCGGCGGCAACAAAGTTGTGGAGCTATTTTTAGCATTAAGGTCACAGTGGAGGTCACAAAGTCATTGACCTTGGTGTCATTTGAAAGAGGTTGATTAGTGGAGTATGGAGTGGACTCCATGCCACTAAACTGGAAGTGAACACCGCAGTGAAGAAAAGAAAAAAATTGCATGTAAATCATATTTGATAATTAAAAAAAAAGATATGGAATATGTGATTTGCAGCACATATCTTACTTTTAAAGTTTTCTTATTTCTTTATCAATATAATAATTATTTATTTTATTTCAGAACAAGTATCATCATGATCATGTTTAGACGTCAAATATACACTGCGAGATTTACTTCCAGTTTAAGCAGTGGCATGGATCCAGGATGAGCTGTTAAAGTGGAAAAAGGGCCAGAAACGGACAGAAATGTTGAATTTTTTAGGCCAAGCCCAGATCTATTAGTTTAAGTGTGTCCCCCCAAAACATATTGCCATCATGGTGTATTTTAGTTGAAGGTAGGAAAACACAGTACTAGTATAAAAATTATCACTTCTTCCCTTAATTATAACTTAAACTTTTGGGTAAGTAGACCATAAAAAAAAAAGATGTGTTTGTGAAACACTATGCGCCCGATGGCAACAAAGTTTGGAAAAAGCTATTTTTAGCATTAAGGTCACAGTCAAGGTCACAAAGTCATTGACCTTGGTGTCATTTGAAAGAGGTTGATTAGTGGAGTATGGAGTGGACTCCATGCCACTAAACTGGAAGTGAACACCGCAGTGAATATTTTACGTAATTGAAGAAAAGAAAAAAATTGTATGTAAATCTTCATGTACAATATTATGTTTCCATATGTGATCAATTAAAAAAAAATATATTTTTAAAACAAAATAATGCCTCATCAGGTCGGTAAGACAAGCTGTTTGGCTCTTTGTTGACTTGGCTTTTCAATGATTTAAATTTGGCACCGTGTAAAAATAGAATTATCTGTCCCTGGTACATATCGTCTTACAAGTAAGAAAAAGAATTGATAACTTTTAAAGTTTTCTTAAATATGTTTAAAATAACTGAATCAAAATATGTTGAATAATTATTTATTTTATTTCATTTGAACAAGCTTTCATCATCATGATCATGTTCATAGACGTCAAATATACACTGCGAGATTTACTTCCAGTTTAGTGGCATGGAGTCCAGGATGAGCTGTTAAAGTGGAAAAAGGGCCAGAAACGGCCTGTAGTCGTCAAGCAGATTGGATTTCTTAACTTGAATAAATAGTAAAACGCTCCGAATACTGAATTTGTTGCGAGATTTTTTAGGCCAAGCCCAGATCTATTAGTTTAAGTGTGTCCCCCCAAAACATATTGCCATCATGGTGTATTTTAGTTGAAGGTAGGAAAATTTCTTTCCGGATTTTTTTTTTTTTGACGATAAGAACTTCAGACTCCTGTCCTATAACATTTTTAAAAATATTTATTGATTTTTTTTAAAGTCACTTGCCCACGGGCATGTACCTATTAAAAAAATTCACTTGCCTCCCCCCTTAAAAATTCACTAGCCCCGGGCGTCGGGCAATGGGATTTGTCAGACCCTGGTAGTGTAGATTCAAGCTTGTTCAAATCATGACCCCCCAGGGGTAGGGTGAGACCACAATGGCCGATCAAAGTTTTACATAGGAGTATATAGGAAAAATCTTTAAAAATCTTCTTCTCAAGAACTACTGGGCCAGGAAAGATGAAACTCATGTGTAATCATCTTCAGGTAGTGTAGATTCAAGTTTGTTCAAATCATGACCCCCGGGGTAGGATGGGGCCACAATAGCTGATCAAAGTTTTCCTAGGAGTATATAAGAAAAATCTTTAAAAATCTTTTTCTCAAGAACCACTGGGCCAAGAAAGATGAAACTCACCCGGAATCATATTCAGGTAGTGTGGATTCAAATTTGTTCAAATCATGACCCCCAGGGGTAGGGTGGGGCCACAATGGCCAATCAAAGTTTTACATTGGAGTATATAGGAAAAATCTTTAAAAATCTTCTTCTCAAGAAACACAGGGCCAGGAAAGATGAAACTCATGTGTAATCATCTTCAGGTAGTGTAGATTCAAGTTTGTTCAAATCATGACCCCCAGGGGTAGGATGGGGCCACAATGGCCGATGAAACTCTTTCATAAGAATATATATGAAAATCTTTTTAAATCTTCTTCTCAAGTACTTCAAAGCCATGATTAGTGATATTTATATGGAATCAACCCCCTTAATGTATATTTTAGTTTGTTCAAATCATAACCAAGCGACCCCCCCCCCCCCCCTTCAATTTTTTTCAGTTTTGACCTGATCTGTGCTTTTTCCTAGACAATGTGCTCAGGTGAGCCCCGGTCAAATAAAAAGGTCAAGGATTAAAATCATTCCAAGGTCCGAAACATCTCGATCTTGTCTCACAAAAGGGACATCAAAAATTAAAACCAAAATCAAATGTTACAATGAAAACAAGACTCACCGGGGTAGGGCGGTGCCACAATGGCTGATCAAAGGTTTACATAGAATATATAGGAAAAATCTTAAAAAATCCACTGGGCCAGGAAAGATAAAACTCTTGTCGAAGCATCCTTAGGTGGTGTAGATTCAAGTTTGTACAAATCATGACACCCGGGGGTAGGGCAGGGCCACACTGGCTGATCAAATTTTTATATAGAAATATATAGGAATTTTTTTTTAAAATCCTTTGCTCAAGATCAGCAAAGCTATGATTGTGATATTAATATGGAAATATCCTCAGAGTTAATTCAAGTTTGTTCATAACATGATCTCTTGGGTTTAGGGAGGGTTAACGAGGGGTCACAATGGGAGATCAAGTAATATGTAGGACAAATCTTCTTTTCAAGTATGGCAAAATTTAGCTGCAGATCTGTAGCACTATGGTTTTATAATTTGTCTGACTCTAACGCTACAGGTCCCGTAATGCAAAAAAGGTGGAATTTACGGGGCATTGTTTGCGCACTTTTGGGGAAAATTTTTCCATTTTCTAGCATTGGTCAATCAACTACCTTTCCATTCCTAATTCTGGACTTATTCTGTATAAAATAGTGTATATTTTATCCACCTCCCAACCATTTTTAGTTATATCTACAGTTAAAAAACTCACTTGAAGTGAATTTTCAGCAGTACATGTATAACATATAATTTTAATCAAGCGAGTTCTCAAGTATTAAAAAATTTCATCCCCCCCCCCAACAAGTAAACTTCAATACTGAGCTGACTTGTGTTTTTTTAACTAGCCCATGTGCTCAGGTGAGCGATGTGGGCCCATGGGCCTCTTGTTTTCATTGTAACTTTTGATTTTGGTTTTCATTTTTGATGTCCCTTTTGTGAGACAAGATCGAGATGTTTCGGACCTTGGAATGATTATAATCCTTGACCTTTTTATTTGACCTTAATTCAAAATATTGCTTTGGAATTGACAATATATGATAGGGAATTAATATTTAACACAATATGCTATATATAATAGCACCTTACAAACTAAGACACCGAAAGCGAGGGACCACAATTATTTGAATTTGCTTGATTACATTGCTTTAAATGCTCAGAAATGATGTTTTCTAATTTCAGGTATTATCTCGGTACCTTAAAACTCCAAACGACAGGGAGAAGAAGAAAACTGCATATTTCCGATGTATCTTCACAGCAACATGACCCAAAGCACTACCATTAAAGGATTTGATTTGACATTAAGGAAGTAAAAAAATGAAGGCATTAGTCATAAAGAAAATTAAAGAACTTTATGTCTGAATATTATATCAACAATACCATAGATCTAAAGATGGATTATTTTGCCTTATAATTTATATTAATGCATGTACATGTAATTTTATTCTTTTTATATATACAATCATGTAGTGTTACCATTTTTCACAAAGCTTAAAAAGTTATGTAGGGCCACACCAATTTAATTTCTTGTTCGTCGGACATTTGATTTAAAAAAAGTACAAGCAGTTAAATGATAATATTATTACTCTTTGCTGGGCAATTTTTTAGGCGGAGCGTGAAAATTTGAGCGGACAATTATATTTTTTCTGATTTACAGAGTAAGCAGATATAAAATACAATAAATAGAGCGGAAATGGAACAGAAAATAGCACAGAATTCCTATGGTGCGAGAAATTGAAATTAATATTATTTGTATGGTTTTGTTTAAATAAGCGCGTGGGTCCGACGAACAAAAATTTTCATTAGTGTGGCCTAGATCATTTAGATTCAATTCATTTTTTTCTTCAAATTACCACATGCCAGAATTCATAAGAAGGAAATTTATATATGGCTGGTGGTTGTGGCCATTTTTAGACTATATTGATCTCCTTTAGAAGGAGAGCTCCTTATAAAATTATACAAAAAATGACCAAATTTTAAAACTAAAATGTACAGAATTTTTCTTTGCCAAATGATAGTTCATAGAACCACAATTCTTCAATCATGTCTACTTGGAGATCAGTGGATGGATATTCATATACAATACACAGCTGAAGCAGGTTTTGTTAGGTTATTTTATTTTCAAAAGGAATGCATTATTTTCTTCAGTCCATTAATGTTAAGCTCTTTAATAGAAACAATTGTAGAAGATTTATCATATTTTGTTTAGAATTTTGAAGAATTTGTTAATCACTCAGTGAAAATTATCCCTTGTCATAATACAAATTTTTAAAATGTATGTACAAATACTTTTATGTTGAAATGACCATGCAAGGAAGAAAATAAAACAAGTTTAAGTGTACACTTTATGCTTTTATATCCAAATTGGCTTCTGTGGAAGGAGAAAGGTTCATATAATAGTATATTAATTAAAGGAGTACATAATGTCCTTTAGAATTTCAGTAAAATTTCTTGACTTTCATGTTAAGGTCATACGCAACGTAGTTTTA